CATACATACATACATACATACATACATACATACATACATACATACATACATACATACATACATAAAATAAAATAAACTGAAGCTGGAGAAGTGATGCAGTACTTAAGAGAATTTGCTGTTCTTGCAAAGGAAACCTACATGGTGATTGACAAATGTCTGTAAATTGACTTCCATGGGATTTGATGTCTTGCTCAGGCCTTTGTGGGCACTAGGCAAGCACCTGGTATACATACGTATATGCAGGAAAAATACTCATACATATAAAATAAAAATAAATAAATCTTTAAAGAAGAGAGGAAAACTGACAAGTGCAAATATTGACCCATTTAATTTAAACATAAAACTATCACATTTAAGAGCCACTTTGAATCTGCTCCGTTAACCTCTTAAAAGCCATCTTATATGTGGTTCTATTCCAACTTTTCTCACAACTTTTATATTTTAAAAAACTCCTGAGAATCTCAAATGGCTTTTGTTTATATGACTCTGTAATTGCTATATTAAAATTGAAACTGAGAATTTTTAATTTACTTGTTAATCCATTTAAAGTCACCACAATAACTCTTTTGCAAACTATCATATATCATCTAATTATCAAGAAAAGTATAATTGACAAGGTTTAATAAATGACATAGAACTTTTTTTTTGGCTGAAAACGAGTAAAAACGAAAACAAAACCAATTACTTAAATGCTTGTACTTTACCCATTAAATGTAGAAATGAATAAATGCATGAAAGAAAATTTTGAAATATTGATAACCAGGATGGGATTTTGCTTGAGGAAAATTATAAATGATCACTTTGTTTTAGCTTTACATCCTCTAGTTCTAGGGATTAAACCCAATATAAGACTGGCAGCTGTTCTACCTCAGAGATATACTTTGTGCCATAAATATTTAGTCTTCATGATTTTCTTTGTCATCTAAAAATTTTACAATGGTGTGTTGTGTTTGTTTGCATGTTTCAAGTGCATATGATATTTAAATCAAGCATATCTAATAATCTTTTCTATTCTGCTCTGCCTACCTTCTCAAAATGTCTCACCTTCCCAGAAGTAGCTTTGAAAGACTACTTTTTTGGACTCCTACCATCTATTTCCAATAATTCCACTTCACTGTTCTTTCTAGGGAACCCAGAAAACAATGTAACTTTCAAACACCCTAATCGCTCTGGTGTCACCCCATGTCATAGTGTTTATTTTGGGTCACTTATTTAAGTTTGATCATAGTGTTTTGATATTAGTCATCAATAGATAAATTGGCTAATGATTATTTTCTGAAAATTGCCAGATAATCTGCATTCTCTTTTCACAAATACATGTGTACATTGGTACACATGAGTACACACATGCACACATATGCACATTTTTACCTACACAGCTACTATAAATTAAATTGAAGTTATAGTAGCATTTGCATGTGACTTGTATTATTGCAAATTAGTTATTTAAAATTATTTGTATTTTATTTTCTTAACCTATGATAGTAAAAAAAAATTACTCTCCTACATCACAGGGCAATCTTAAGGATAAAACAAAAATACTATATGAAGTTCAATTTTGTAACTTGGCACATGAACTGGGGCTTATTTTGATATCTTTTCATGACTTCTTCAGAAGGATAGGCAAGCTTCCTTGGACAGAGTTCAAAACAGTAACAATTACAGAACTGTTAATACTGTAGCCAAACCTGAAGGCCAAAACTCTTGCCCTGCCTTTTGTTGTGTGATTTTATAAACTTCCATTTCCTCCCTCTCCTGCTTATTCGCTGAAGCTTAAAGCTTTAAGATTTTTTTAATGAGCTCAAAAACACCTCTTTCCTGTGTTTATCAGGAACTGTCCTTCATCTAATTAAAGCATACTTGCTTTTATGTATGTATCTTGCTAAGCTAAATCATTATCTGCTTAGATATGTAAGACACTGTGCAGTGTGAGTAAATTCATGCATAAGAAAGTCACCTGTACTCTTCAACATGTAATCTTCATATATTGTTTGGCTGTCAAATTGCTCACACAGGTTGTTACTTCTCACTTTAGATTTGGTTTTAGATTTCTAAATACAACCCCCCCTTTTTTTTAGTTTTTTTTTCTCTGCCATTTTTTTAATTTTTTATTAATTACACTTTATTCATTTTGTATCACCCCATAAGCCCCTCCCTCCTCCTCTCCCGATCCCACCCTCCCTCCCCTTTCTGCATGCATGACACTCCGCAAGTCCACTGATAGGGGAGGTTCTCCTCTCCTTTCTGGTCTTAGTCTATCAGTTCTCATCAGGAATGGCTGCATTGTCATTTCCTGTGGCATGGTAAGGCTGCTCCCCCCTCAGGGGGAGGTGATCAAAGAGCAGGCCAATCAGATTATGTCAGAGGCAGTCCCTCTTCCCATTACTATGGAACCCACTTGGACACTGAACTGCCATTGGCTACCTCTGTGCAGGGGTTCTAGGTTATCTCCATGAATAGTCCTTGGTTGGAGTGTGAGTCTCTGGGAAGTTCCCTGAGTTCAGATTTTCTTGTTCTGTTGCTCTCCTTGTGGAGACCCTCTCCTCTCCAGCTCTTACTATTTCCCACTTCTTACATAAAAATACAACCCTTTTATGAGAGTGTGCTTGGAGTTGGGTGATGGTGGCACAGGACTTTAATTCCAGCATTTGTGAGGCAGAGGTAGGTGGAACTCTGTGAGTTTGAAGCCAGTTTGTTCTACAGAGTGACCTCCAGGAGTGCCAAGAATACATAAAGAAACACTGTCTTGAGAAAAAAAAATGTGCTTGGGTTAAGAACACTTTGGCACTTGGACTCTACCACCATCACCTTGCTGAAATTTTGTGGTTTAGGGAACCCCATTCTTTCTCTTGGTTTATATTTCACCTGAAACTCTGACCTTCAGTGTGCCAAACAGAGTCTTGTAATGAACCTGCCATCACCCATTTGTTTCCTTCCACTTGATATATTTTATACGAAGGTGTTGTCCTTGGGCAAAGGATGAAAGAGTTGCAGAGAAGTACTCATCTCAAAAGGCATCCTTCTTAGAAGATGAATGTAGGAGGAGAAGGCTTCAGTCATTTGGGTAAAGTCTAAACTGCAGGTCATGGTTTGTCAGTGTGCTCTGCTCTAAAACTTTTCACCTTTTCCAAGTCAAGCTCAAGAGTCAGACTGAGGGTCTCCCTTTCTGAAACAATTGTTTTGTGATCACCGTTAGTTGAAAAAGAATTAGACTTTGGGAAAGGGGGATTCTACCAATGCACTGCCTTTGAACTTGTATCATGTCTCTTTACCAAATGTCTTGCTTACCCTTTAGGCTTCAGCCGTGTCAGTGGCCTCTTCACATGAGCTGCCCTCTCTTTCTCTGCCTCTTTATCCTTGGTAATTCTTTCTTTTTTACTGACTCTTATGACTTATAGAGAAAAAAAAATTTAGACCAACATCGTCACAAAAATTAACATGAAACCTCTTCTTTTACTTCTCAGTTACCCTGACTACAAACTCAATACAAGATGAATCATTCTTGAACGACTCATAGTTCCTGGGAGGATTATTCTGACTCAGTTGAAAGATGTCATATTACAGAGTCTAACTTCTGACCCAGGATTTTAAACAGACCCCCAAATAGGTTTGATACTATCTTTTAACTGCCATCAGCAAGTTAAGCCTCCCAAGGGTGATTTGAATGTTGCCACACTGTCAAATTTTTATGGGGCTTTGTTCATAAATCTCCATATCAATATGTTGTTCTTCTGGTGGGGAGAACTAGCTAGTGTCAAAATGCTTTCAAGGGAGGCCTGAGGTTCTTTTATTTATTCTTAATTCCCATGACCTATAAAAACTCCTGTGTATGTCTATGCTTCTGACTTTCTGGAAGAGCTTGACAGGTCCTGTTTTGTGGATCTTCCTTTGCATAGCTACACATGCGGTTTCTTGCCCCTTCTAACTTGTATTGTGTCTATAATTGTAATTTTCTGATTCTCCGTGTATACAATGGCTTCTGATTCTAAGATGTTTATTAGTGTTGTGGTCAACAGGGATGCTTTTTGGTTACTCTGTTCTGTATTGGAATTTAGATTTTATATGGTATGGATCCCAATATCAGAAATAATCCACTTTACTCTGCTTAACTTGTCACCTAACTTATTTGTATGAAAGAATATTTGGCTGGAGATATATATTGATGCCAAAAAGTTGAATTTTATTCTTTAGTTGAGGTGCCAAAAGGCTGGAGTGTATGTTAAATATGGGTCACTCACTTAACAGTAGCTAATAGGATTTTGTTTTTTAAAAATCGCCAACTTAGAAACTTTAACAAAATTTACATTGTTATAAATATTTCCTTTTAAATGTATGTGTCTCACAGGGAAAATCATACCCCTTCAGAGGCCCATTCCCATCAGTATGGAATCCAGTTGCCTACCTAGATAATAACAACTTTTGGAGGACAATGGATGAGATGGGTCAAGAGGTAATACTTTCTAAATCTGTTTTGACAGCATATGAAATTTTCATTAGTTCTCAGAAGAAAGAATGTGAAATGTATCAACAATCCCATGTTCATAGCATAGTGACCAGCACATACTAAGAATCACTGAACATCAGTGAAATGAGTGAATTATTTTTTTTCTAACTTCTAAAAGAATGGTGTATCACATAGACTGTTATTTGTATATACTTGATGAGCAAGTAGAGAAGCATGAAGCCTGCAGCCTCCCTGGGATGATATTTAGAAAATCCCCAAGACATTAACAGTTCTTCGATTCTCCAGCATGCCCAAACTTCCAACTCTTGAGTAAACACATAGAAACTTTAACTGAAAACTCTGATTTTGAGATGATTATTGGAAGTTCTTTGATTCTAATTAAAGAGTTGAATTTTTAAATGTTTTCTAAACATTATTAACTTAATTCCCCTTACATGTAGTTTCACTTCTTCTGGTTGTGCTTATCTATGGCCAAATGCATAATGGAAAATATTAAAGAGAAAATTCCAGAAACAGAGACTACATTCACATAATTGTCATACATATTCTGTTTTCTTATTGTTACTACATTGTGGTGTACAATGTAATAATTAAATTTTATTGTAGATATATTTGTATAGAAAATATATTTTTCTGAAGGAAAGTTATTGTAAACTGAGTGCTTATAAACTTATGTGTATATGTGACAGAAGAAGTACACAGACAGTGAGCTTTATGTTATTTGAGAAACTATTATGGGTACTAGGAAAATTAAATTTAAAACTTTTTTTTGAGGTAGAGCTTTAATATTAACTATTTTAACTATTTAGTATTAAATATTTTGCTAAAATATTTAATTGAATGGAATTTTTTTCCTTTCTTTTTTAATGCATCTGAATGTAGATTCCCAGTGATGCTCCATGGAAGGCACCTCTTGCAGAAGAGTGGGACCACATGACAATGAAAGAATTGATAGATAAGATCTGCTGGACCAAGTAAGATCTTCCATTGGGCAAAGGAATTTATTCTGACAATGCTTGGAGTTTATTTAGGTACTCATTTTAACAGCATGAGGCAAGCAAGTATCTGTTTTACTGTCTAAACCCATACCACTGGCTACACAAATGATTGAAAGATGCTGAAAGTAAGTCTTCTTCTAAAATAGGTGTATTTTACTTCTTTGATATAGTTTTGCACCACTAAGTTGCTGTTTTTCCCATTAAGTCCTCAGAAAAACTAGAATGAGCTATCTTTTTTACATAGAACATTTTAAAGACCAGTGTTTTAACAGTCTAACTTACTAGGTTGTTAATATAGGACTAGTTTTATAGTCCTTCTGGTAGTCATGTGCATTTAGCAAGACATTTGAAACCTGTTTTGTGATGTAGTACAACTCTTCAGTGTTTTAAAAAGTGACTTCTAGGTAATTCACACCTATAGAAGAAACATGTGAGTGGACCTACACCTCAATTAGTGAAAAGCCTGTAGTGTCAAAAGCAAAGGTTTTGAAGTTCTTGTTTGCAGCTCTGGGAAGTGTGTACAGTTTTCATAGGCCTTACTTTTCCTGGGCAAAAGAGAAAGTGGAAAGAATTGCAGGGTGCCAAGTTCAAGCCAAGTTCAGGCCCTTAAGTAATAGAACTGGGAGCCAAATTCTGAAATGCTAAATGGAAGCTCTTTTTTAAATAATTTTTATTTTTATATTAATCACAGGTTATTTACTTTGTATTGCAGCTGTAGCCCCTCCTTCATTCCCTCCCAATCCCACCCTCCCTCCCTCATCTCCTCCCTGCCCCTTTCCAACTCCACTGATATTCTTAAAAGTATATTTCGCTCTGAAGTTTATACATTCACATTCTGGTTGTTAAAAAGGAAGTGACCTCTTAAGCTAAAAAGAAAAAAAGGTTTTAGATATATCCGAATATTAGATGTAGGAATAATCAGGATATGTGAACAGTCAGACTTGTCAATACAGTTTCTTAAAACTCATCTTAAAGAGAGTGGATTAAAGCAGACCCTGAGACTTATGGCCAACTGTTGGTCAAAGTGCAGGGAATCTTATGTAAGAAGTGAGAAATAGTAAGATCTGGAGAGGACAGGAACCCCACAAGGAGAGCAACAGAACCAGAAAATTTGAACACAGGGGTCTTCCCAGAGACTCATACTCCAACCAAGTATCATGCATGGAGATAACCTAGAACCCCTGCACAAATGTAGCCCATGGCAGTTTAGTGTCCAAGTGAGTTACATAGTAATGGGAAGAGGGACTGCGTCTGATATAATCTGATTGGCCTGCTCTTTGATCACCTCCCTCTGAGGGGGGAGCAGCCTTACCAGGCCACAGAAGATGACAATGCAGCCATTCTTGATGTGATCTGATAGACTAAGATCAGAAGAAAGGAGAGGAGGACCTCCCCTATTAGTGGACTTGGGGAGGGGCATGCACGAAGAAGGAGGAGGGAGGGTGGGACCGGGAGGGGAGGAGGGAGGTGTTTATGGGGAGATACAAAGTGAATAAACTGTAATTAATAAAAAATAAAGAAATAAAAAATAATAAAAAAAGAAAAAGGGAAGAATAGAGAAAAGAAGTGAGAGATGGATAGAAGGAGGGAGGAAGAGGGAGAAGGAGAGAGAGACATTAAAGGGCATCCAAAAGATGGGAAAGACTTAAAATAATGCTGTGAAGGAATAATTAGTGGTTTTAAAACTAGTATTAAATACATAGCAAAGCAGGCTTCCATAAAGTATAAATAGTGGGACATAAAATTCCACCTCTGTAAAACAAATTATTTTTGATATGTATTGTAAAACACAATGGAAATCCACTGCCAAATATCTCATGAACAATGAGTGGTAAAATATATTTACCTATTACTGTTCTGTTGGATATTCTGACCACCTCAAAGCTTTTAATATTATTATTATATGATATGCTGAATATTTTATAATATGCTTTTGAAAGCAATCTATTCTGAAAATATCATTTAAGCCATGATTAATGCCTGTTAGAAATTATACTATTTAAAAATACTTATCTATGCTATTAAAAACTTCATATAAAAACATGGTTTATAATAGAATTTATTTTGACAGTATTAGAATTCTGTTTATTTATAAATTTTATAGATTTTCAATAACATAACCTACATTTGTCCTAGAACTTCTGCTATGAAAAGCTTTTAATAAATTCAATTTGATCTTTTGTCCCAAAGAACTTTTAGGCACCTTCAAACTGGGACTAGTTAGGTTTCTTTGAGATCATAAATATCTGGGATTTACTACCACAGCCTCTATCTCAGCCTGCAAGTAGTGAATACCCATATAAAATGACATGTTATATAAACAAGAATCAGAGAATTTTCCAGTTATTCCTAAGCAAGGTATACATGAGACCATTTACTGTCTTTAAAGGAAACAACACCCAGAATAACTAACCTATCCTGATTCAAAGTAAATCACAGACATATTACAAAGACTAATGCTGACCATTTTCTTAGTTTTAATTTATAAAATGTTGTTCAGAAGTGAAAAGTGTATTTTCAATGTGATCATAGATAAGTGATTGTGCTTTAGAAAAACTATATATGGAAGAAACACATCAAAATGAGACTTGTAATTGCCTTTTGGGTGACAGAAATATGAAAAAATTCTCATTGCTTCATATTTTATCTAATGAATTTCCAAAGCTTATATAACATAATATGTATTTTATGTAAAAAAATCTAGTATATCTTTTATATTTTTAAAAGTCAACAAAGCAAAAATTATAAAATATTATTATACTAGATGGCATGAACTTTTTTCCCTTAAATGTTATAAAGTTCATTCTTTCTTACTGAAATTTCCAGAGTAAATCAAACAAAATATTGAGAATGAACTTACCTTACACAAAGAAGTACAGTTGTACTCCTTTTCCTTCAGTTTCAGTCAATCATGATTATTCTTTTTCCAGAAAAAAAATACAGTTTCTTCATGGAAGACATAGAGAGACTACATTCCCATAAATTTATTATTTTATAATTTTATGGTTATTCATTTTATTATAATTAATAGCTAATTTATTTCTCTGTCTTGATTAGGAAATTAAAGGATTCTGTGGTGCTGCAGACTACACCCAAATCTTCAGACATAATGGGCCATTTATCCCTAGATCTATGAATTAAATTTAATCATAGATTTTTAAGCAAAAAGCAATATGCAGGTAGTTAGAGAGATGGCTGAGCAGTGAAGAGCAGGTGTTGCTCTTGTAGATGACTTGGGTTTAGTTCCAGCAACTACATCAGGGAGAACACGACCACCTGTAATTCCAACTCCAGGCAATCCATTGCCTTCTTCTGGCCTTTTTAGGTAACTGGACATATGTGGTGACTTCTGGGGTGAGAGAGATAGAAGTTCAAGTTGCTTTCAAGCATCTTGGCTTTAACTATTTAGTGAATGGGGGTTCCTTTTACCAAGATAAGTACTGCCTGAAGACTAGCAGGTCTGAAAGGAACAACTGATAACACAGAATATGACCAAAGTCAATTTTAAATATGGTGTCTTAAGGGGGCATAAATACTATATTTTCCAAACCCATGTTCTCATGTTTTATGATACTGAATAATTCCAGAAATTTGCTAAATTGTGTTGAATGCAGCCAAAGAAACATAAGAATCTAGAATCATATGAAGACCCTGTTCTGCATTTGCTAACCATACTCTTGTTTCTTCCTGATCAGATCTATAAAGGAGCTTGGCACTCTCTTCGTGAATCTATGTGTAACTGCAGAGACCCATGAGGTCTCTGCTCTGTGGTTCCTGTGGTATGTGAAGCAGTGTGGAGGTACAACAAGAATCATCTCAACAACCAATGGAGGGCAGGTACTCACTATCCCAAAACAAAACTACTACTACAAAAATTGGTGTAATGCTGCAATCATGAGATGCTGGTGCTTGAGACAGGCTTGTGGTTTGTCAAGCTTTACTGTGGTAGTTTGGAGTAGCTTTCAGAAGAAACTATCTGTTGTCAGGTCTCCTGTGGACAGCATAATTTTAAGACTAGTCTCCAGAGAAAGCTCAATTAAGAAAGACAGAAATGCACTTATATTTTGAAAAATACACCATGCTCTAGGCTGTAGCTTCATGATAGAACACTTCCCTGGCATGAACTAGGATAGCATGATTCATCCCCAGTATTAATAAAGAAAAAGAAAAATAGAGAAAAGGAAGGAAGGAAAGACAGAAGGACAGAAACTGAAGAATATTTTTTAAAGCACACCACATAGGAAAATGCATTCTTTGTTTTATTGATTCAATGCCTATTTTCTGAGGATTGTGTAAGGCCCCTGTTAGGAAGAATATAAAGTCTATTTGAGTTCTTTTCTGGGGGTTGGGGGCTCAAGACAGGGTTGCTCTGTATATCCTTGTCTGTCCTGGACTTGCATTTGTAGATCAGATTGGACTTGAACTCAGAGAAATCTGCCTGCTTTTCCTCTTCAAATGCTGGGATAATACATATACTTCACCAAGTGCAACTGGATTTGAAGACTTTTTTTATTATCTACTTATATTTTTATAAATTCCAATTTATTCACTTCGTATCCCTGCTGTAGCTCCCTCCCTCATCCCCTCACAATCCCACCCTCCCTTCCTCATCTCCTCCCATGTCTTTCCCCAAGTCCACTGATAGGGAAAGTCCTCCTCCCCTTCCCTCTGAATCCAGCCTATCAGGTCTCATAAGGACTGACTGCATTGTTCTCCTCTGCAGCCTGATAAGGATGCTCCCCCATTATGGGGAGGTGATCATAGAGCCAGCCACTGAGCTCATGTCAGAGGCAGTTCCTGTTCCCATTACTAGGACACCCACTTGGAGACTGAGCTGCCATGATTTGGATAGTGTCTCTCTGCTTTTTAGTTAGTTTGCCTAAGGGTTTGTCTATCTTGTTGATTTTCTCAAAGGACCAGCTCTTGGTCTCATTGATCCTTTGAATTGTTTTCTTTTGTTTCTAATTCATTGATTTCAGCTCTGAGTTAGATTATTTCTAATAATCTACTCCTCTTGTTGTATCTGCTTTTTTTTATCTGGTGTTTTAGGTGTGCCACTAAATTGCTTGCATGAGATGTCTTGAACCTCTTTCTGGAGAGACTTAATGCTATGAACTTTCCTCTTAGCAGTGCTTTCATTTTGTCTCATGAGTTTGGGTAAGTTGTGCCTTTATTTTCATTGAATTTCAGGATATTTCTAATTTTTTTTTTCATTTCTTCCCTGACAAAGCATCATTTAGTAGAGAGCTGGTTAGTTTCCATGTTTATGTAGGCTTTTTGTTAATTTTGTTGTTGAAGTCGAGTTTTTGGCCATGTTGTCTGAAATGATACAAGGGATAATTTATATCTTCTTGTATCTGTTGAGGCTTGCTGTGTGCTCTAGCATATGGTCAGTTTTAGAGAAGGGTCCATGAGGAGCTGAAAAGAATGTATACTCTTTTGAGTTTGGGTGAAAAGTTCTGCAGACATCTATTAGGTCCACTTGATTTAGGACCTCTGTGAGTGTCATTATTTCCTTATTTTGCTTGTCTAGATGATCTGTCCCTTGGTGAGAGTTGAGTGTTGAAGTCTCCCACTATTAAGGTTTTGTGATCAATGTGTGATTTAATCATTAATAATCTTTCATTTAGAGATGCTGGTGATCTTATATGGGGCACAGATGTTCAGAATTATAATGTCCTGTTGGTGGATTTTTCCTTTGATGAGAATGAAGTGCCCCTCCTCATCTTTTTTGATTAATTTTGTTTGAAAGTCTGTTTTATTGGATATTTGGATAGCTTCCCCAGATTGTTTTCTGGGTGCATTTGCTTGAAAACTATTTTTCCAGCCCTTTACTCTAAGGCAGTGTTTGTTTTTTGCAGAGGTGTTTTTCTTGAATGCAACAGAATGTTGGATCTTGTTTCCATAACCATTCTGTTATTCTATGTCTTTTTAATGGATAGTTGAGTCCGTTGATGTTGATAGATAATAGTGACCAATGAATATTATTAGTTCCTTTTATTGTGGAGTTTTGGTGTTACTGTCATTCATTGCTTGTTTTCTTTTTCTTTTTGTTGTGAAGTTATCTGTATCTTATGTTTTCTTGGTGCAGTTGTTTTCATTGGATTGGAGTTTTCATTCTAGAATCTTCTTTAGGGCTGGGTTGCTGTGTAGATATTGCTTAAATTTAGTTTTGTCATAGAATATAGAATATTTGTTTTCTCCATCTATATAGATTGAAAGCTGTTCTGGGTATAGTAGTCTGGGTTGGCATCTGTGGTCTCTTAGAGTCTGCATGACATCTTTCCAGGCCCTTCTGTCTTTCATATTTTCTGTTGAGAAGTCTGGTGTGATTCTGATAGGTCTACCTTTACATGTTACTTAGCCTTTTTCCCTTGCTGCTTTTAATAGTTTTTCTTTGTTCTGTAGATTTGCAGTTTTGACTATTAATTGACTTGAAGAGTTTCTTTTCTGGTCTAGCCTATTTGTTGTTCTGTAGTCCTCTTGTATGTTTATGGAGATCTCTTTCTTTTAGTTGGGTAAATTTTCTTCTATAATTTTCTTGAAAATATTTTCTGGACCTTGAAGCCTGTAATCTTCTTTTTTGTCTAATCCTATTATTCTTAGATTTTGTCTTTCATGGTGTCCTTGATTTCTTCGATGTTTTATGTTTGTAACTTTGTCCAATTTTATTTTTTCATTGCAAGATGTATCATTTTCTGCAAGTCTATCTTCAGCACCTGAGATTCTCTCTTCTATCTCTTGTATTCTGTTGGTAATGCTTAACTTTGTGGTTCCTAACTTTTTCTCTAAGTTCTCCAGCTCCAGGGTTTTCTCTGTGTTTTCTTCATTGATTCTAATTCTGTTTTCATGCCTTGTACCATTTCCTTCATCTGTTTGAATGTGGATTTCTATCTTTCCATGTTGGCCTCTATTTTTTTGTTCTTTTCCTCTCTACATGCCTCTACTTGTGCCTCTATTTGTTTGGCTGTATTTGCATGTATTTCTTTGAGAGCTTTGTTCACTTCTTCTTTGTCTGCCTCTAATAACTGGATTAGAAGAGATTTGACATTATTTTCTGTGTTTCCGATGAATTAGAATATACATTGATTTAGAGAAGGGTTGGTGAAGCCATGATATATTGATTTTTCTTGTATGTGTTCTTACGCGGACCTCTAGCCATCTGCTTATCTATAACCTTTGCTGTTTGCTCCTTGAGTTTATACTTCAGACTGGGTCTGTCTGTCTCCAGTGTCTTATGAGAGTGGTCCATTGGGTTGAGAGTGGATGTTGGTGTTTCAGCTGTAGCTAAGGCAAGAAGGTCACAGGTACATATGTGCTAGCAAGGGCATGCATGTAGCAGTGTGCCTTGAGTGAGAGAGTACAAGAGCTTGTAGTTTTCTGAAGGTTGGGGCTTAAGGGCAGGGATGAAGAGGAGGTGCTGTTTCTGGCACTGTAGTGGATGCAGTGGATGCAAGCGCTGGTGCCCTGAATACCTCAGTAGCCTACAGGCCTCCTGATAATCATATCTGTCTGGGTTCCAGGAATTGTTTGCATGGGCTCCACTAGGAGGCTCACAGAGCAGAGGCTTCAATGTTGAGAATGTTGTCTCAAGGATCCCTATTTTGCCCACAGTGGGGGTGTGGGTGGACCGTTTCTGATGTCTGGCTGCTAACATAAAGAGACCCTGGTTCTGGGCTCTTCAAGTACACACTTAAAGGTGTACTCCCTTGCTTGCAGGTATAATTGGAAAAGTACAGGGGATCCTCCTTTTCTCTACTCTCAGATTTGGGTCCACAGGGGCAAATGAGAGTGCAGGATATCCATCACCTCAGTTGTGTCCACTCTCAGGCCACTGGGCATGTATGCCTCTGTAGTCACTGAGTGAGGAGGCTCCTGTTTGAACTAGCTGCTGCCCTGCCCCAGCGGCAGCTCTAGGAGGCCCACCTGTGCTGTTTCATTCACTGAGTGGGAGGAGGTTTGTACTTGGACTAGCTGCTGCCCTGCTGCAGCTGTCCCCTGCCTGTGCCATTTCAGTCACTGAGCAGTGTAGAGGCTTGTGCTTGAGGCAATGACTGCAGTCTTAGCCAGGCAGTCTCTGTGCTTGGGACAGGGGCCACTGCCATCCGCCTTAAAGAACAGGGATACCTTTGCTTGGGGAAAAAGAAAGTGCCAGGGGTAAATATTCTCTACTCTCAATCCCCGGAGACATCCACAGGTGATCTGGATCCAAATTGTCCCAGCTCACGGGTTGTCCCCTCTGGCCCAGGAAGCCTCAATATGGATATTCTGGCTTCAGCTGACCCTTCACTCACCAATTTAAGAGTTTCAGATCCTGTGCCCCTCAGATACAATGTGCGCTGGCTGCCGCCATCTTGGAACCCGTCTGTATTTAAGTTCTTTTTTTTTCCAAAGTATTTCATTTTTATTTTTTATATTACCGTTTATTATATTTTTTCGATTCTTTATTAATTACACTTTATTCACTTTGTAACAGAAGAAAACAATGCAGCCACTCCTGATGAGACCTAGTTGACTAGGATCAGAAGGAAGGAAAAGAAGTCCTCCCCTATCAGTGGACTTGGGGAGGGGCATGCATGCAGAGGGTGGAGGAAGGGAGGGATTGGGATGGGAGGAGGGAGGGAACCACAGGGTGTATTTAAATTCTTAATCTTTTTGGTAGTCACATTCCTTTCTATCCAGTCCTCTTCACCTTCCATTCTCTCTTCTTCTTCCTCCTCTTCTCCCTTCTTGGTTGACCTATCTAAAATAGTCTTTTATAAGTTAATTGATGAACAATGAGATGTTCAGCAGGTAAAAAAAAAAGCTTGTTATAAAAGTTTAGCAACCTAAGTGCCAACCCCAAAAAAGTCAAGAAAGGTTAGGTAGAAGGCTAAAACTCACTCCCAAAATTGCCTTTGGACCTTCATACTCATCAGCGTATATAATCATCACACACACACACACACACACACACACACACACACACACACACACACTTATAATCATAATCATAGCATAATGTTTAAATTAACTGCTCTAAAAATTGAGGATGAGGAGGCTGTCAACTAAATTGTCTGCATGGTCTGGTAGAGCATTTAAAAACTCTGGAATGTTTGCAAGCAGGGCTGAAGATGGGTGAAATGACCTTGGTAGCCATAGGAGGAGCAAGCATCTAACTCTAGATAAGATGTGCCTACCCATAATAGAAGAATGCTGACTTAGACATGGAGGTATAGTGTATGCCTCTCTCTGTCTATTAGGGAAGACAGAGGTGAGGTACATCTGAGCTTGAGTCATGGGACAAGTCTTAGAAACACTCAGGAAAATGCTGTCCAAGCTGAAGTTTCACTAGGCTCAATGGATCAGCTAAAGAATGTAGATGGAGCCCAGAGTAAGGTGGTGGCCAGGCAAAAGGGAGATAAGGATTATTCTGAGAATATCCAGCTAAGCTTGAAACACTGTAATCCACAATAGTATAACTTTAAGGTCAGTTAGTAAGCCTATAATTTTATCAAAAAGAAAGCAGTCTCTAATTAGACAAAAATCCAAATAGCAATAAGAATGTAAGTAAAAATAAACCCAACATCAAGATATAGGAAATTATTATTTTTTTATTTTTTATTTAACTTCTATTAATTACACTTTATTCATTTTGCATCCCCAATAAGCCCCTCCCTCATCCCCTCCCAGTCCCACCCTCCCCCCCTTTCTGCATGCATGCCCCTCCCCAAGTCCACTGATAGGGAAGGTCCTCCTCTCCTTCTTTCTGATCTTAGTCTATCAGTTCTCATCAGAAGTGGCTGCATTGTCAGGGTTCTAGGTTATCTCCATGAATAGTCCTTGGTTGGAGTATGAGTCTCTGGGAAGTTCCCTGTGTTCAAATTTTCTTGTTCTGTTGCTCTCCTTGTGGAGTTCCTATCCTCTCCAGCTCTTACTATTGATAATAAATCATACTTTATTTTAAAACAATTACTTTGCACACCTATAATTTTATTAATTTGATTAAAGATAATAAGCTTGGATGTTAATAAGATGGATGGATATGCTTTCTGTTTTTCTTTTTTCTTTTTATTTCTTTATTAATTACAATTTATTCACTTTGTATTCCCCCCCGTGGTTCCCTCCCTCCTCCCGTCCCAATCCCTCCCTTCCTCCACCCTCTGCATGCATGCCCCTCCCCAAGTCCATGGATAGGGGAGGACCTCTTTTCCTTCCTTCTGATCCTAGTCAATTAGGTCTAATCAGGAGTGGCTCAGTTGTCTTCTTCTGTGGCCTGGTAATGCTGCTTCCCCCTCAGGGGGAGGTAATTAAAGAGCATGACAATCAGTTCATGTCAGAGACAGTCCCTGTTCCTATTACAATGGAACCCACTTGGATACTTAACTGCCATGGGCTGCATCTGTGAAGGGGTCTTAGGTTATCTCCCTGCAGACTATCAATGTAGATGCTGAGACTTATGGGCAACCTTTGGGCAGAGTGCAGGGAATTTAGGAAAGAAATGGGAAACGGTAAGATCTGGAGAGGACAGGAACTCCACAAGGAGAGCAACAAAACCAAAAAATCTGAGCACAGGGGTCTTTCCTAAGACTGCTATTCCAACAAAGGACTATGCATGGAGAAATTATTCTTAATAATAAATTAAAGTTGTATATACCTTAGAGGAGGGGTATCAGGAAAAAAAATAGCCACTTATCTGTTTATGCCAACTCCTATTTTGACCATCCATCTTGAATACCATTTTCTTCTATCCAGGAGAGGAAATTTATTGGTGGGTCTGGTCAAGTGAGTGAGCGGATAATGGATATCCTCGGAGACCGAGTGAAACTTGAGAAGCCTGTGATCCACATTGACCAGACAGGGGAAAATGTTGTTGTGGAAACCTTAAACCATGAAATATATGAGGTAATCACTACACTCAAAGTGAGGTAAATGCATCAGAGTCCCATGGGCAAGGAAGTTTATATGAAGCCAAGAATAGCCCACAGTTTATAGAGTCTATTTGCCAAAGAGACATGTATCTGAGAGAAAGCAAAAAGAGTAAAACTATTTGAGAGGAGAAATGATTGAAAATATACTCTCTTTAATAGGCTCTTGGGTAATTATAAACCAAAGGAAAAATTTGATAAATATCAAGCATGGCTTATAGACCTAACATTATTTTGAGAGTTGGAAATTTTCTGACTTCACAAGGGTTTACATTTTAGTAAAGGATTACAGCTGTAATCAAATATTTATTTATAATGTAAAGTGTATCAAATAGTGATGAGTAGTGTGGAAGAAATTAAGCAGGGACAGGATAAGGCATCCCATAGGTTATACTGGGCTGATTGACCATGTCACTTAAAATAAGGTTGTTATTAAAAACCATATTGAGATAGGTAAACCCAGAGCTGAAGGCGATGAGTGGCTATGGGAAGGATATTATGGATGGATGGATGCATGGGTGCATGGAATAACAGCCAGGGCCAGGGCCAGGGCCTAAATTGGGAGCACATCTGAACTGACTAAGGAATACAAAGGGGCCAAATTGGCAAACAAAAAAGATAGACTGGGACAAAGAATAAGAGAAAGCAGGATGTAGAGGTAACAGGGAGGGCATAGGAAGTTTAGAACTGGGGAACAATAAATCCTGTTTTAGCTTTAATCTGGTCCTTCTGGTTTCACAGTTAAGGGATAGAAAGAGGGCAAGGGCAGACAGATTAAGAAAACCTTTTACAGCAATCCAATGATGTTTAAACACATTTACTTTTCTTTCAGGCTAAATATGTGATTAGTGCCATTCCACCCATTTTGGGCATGAAGATTCACTATAATCCTCCTCTACCAATGCTAAGAAACCAACTGATCACACGTGTGCCTTTGGGTTCAGTCATTAAGTGCATGGTTTATTATAAAGAGCCCTTCTGGAGGAAAAAGGGTAATTTCAATCTTTTTTTCTGACTGTTATTTTTAAATTTATTTATTTATTATAAGTTACAGTTTATTCACTTTGTATCCCTGCTGTAGCCCCATCCTTCTTCCTCCCTCTTCTTCTCCCATGTTACTCCCCAAAATCCACTGGTGGGGGAAGTCTTCCTCCTCTTCTGTCTGACCCTAGCCTATAAGGTCTCATCAGGACTGGCTGTGTTGTCTTACTCTGTACCTTAGAAAGTCTGCTCCTCCCTCAAGGTGAGGTGATCAAAGAGTTCATGTTCACACTGAGTTCATGTCAAAGACAGTTTCTGTACCCCTTCCTAGGGTACCTACTTGGAGACTGAGCTTCTTTGGGCTACATATGATCAGAGGTTCTAGGTTATCTCCATGCATGGTCCTTGGTTGGAGTATCAGTCTAAAATAAGATGCCTGGACTCAGATTTTTTTGGTTCTGTTGCTTTTCTTGTGGAGCTCCTGTCTCCTCCAGGTCTTTTTATCACCCTCTTCTTTCATAAGATAACCTGCACTCTGCCCAATGTATGGCAATGAGTCTCAGAATCTGCTTTGAAATTTTGCTGAGTAGAGTCTTCCAAAGGCCCCCTGTGGTAGGCTCCTGTCCTATTTCCTGTTTTCCCTCTCTTCCGATGTCCATCCCATTTACCTTTCTGAGTGAGGATTGATCATAAGTAAGTTCATTCTTGACATAAAGGCTTATCAGAGAAATTCCAAGAAACTTTGTATCAAGATATATATTTGGCTATAACTGTTTTTATTAGAATCTGGACAGAAAATTCATGATTCACCCTTCTAAGCACTGAGATTAAAGATGTGTAACATTACTTCTAGCTAGTTCAGGTTCTACAGACAGTTCTTGCAAATAAAATGTATTTCCACAAATTTATGCATTGTATTTTTCTTGGAAAATGAACAGTTCTTTCAATATTTTGATATAAAGTTTATTTAACCATTTCTCAATCCCCTTGAGAACATGTGATTTAATTCTCTAGTGCACCTTCCAAAAGCATGGATTTATGAAGACATATATTCATGAATGAAGATGTAGATCAGTAGGTGAATGCTTACAAAGCCTGTTCATGACTCTGCATTTTATCTCCAGCTTTACACACACACAAAACTGGCATCTGTGAAAAAATTTGAGGCCACTTCTTATCAGTGCCAAGATCCTACTAACTTAAAATTTCCACTAACTACTCACTCATAAGTGGTTGTTAGACATACAATATAGGATAAACATACTAAAATCTATACTACTAAAGCAGCTAAACAAAAGGGAAGATCCTAGGGAAGATGCTCATTCCTTATTCAGAAGGGCAAACGTGATAGACATCTGAAGCAGAAGACAAGGAACAGGACAGGAGCCTACCACAGAGGGCCTCTGAAAGACTCTACTGACCATGGTATCTAAGCAGATGCTGAGATTCATAGCTAAACTTTGGGCAGAGTGCAGGGAATCTTGTGAAAGAAGGAAGAGATAGAGAGACCTGGAGGGGACAGGAGCTCCAAAGTAGACCAATATAGCAAAAAATAAAATAATAAAATAAAATAAAATAAAACTTAAAAAACTTAGCCCTGTGGGCCCTGAAGATAATGATACCCCAACCAAAGACCATGCATGGAGAGGACCTAAAACCCACAATCAGATGTAGCCCATAGACTCTCTCCAAATGGGTTCCCTAGTAAGAGAAGTAGGGGTTGTCTCTGGCATGTACTTAGTGGCAGGCTCTCTGATCACCTCCTTCTGGGGTGCTGCAGTCTTGTCAGGCCACTGAGGAAGACAATGCAGCCAGTCCTGATGAGACCTAATAGTCTGGGTCAAATAGAAAGGGAGGAGCTCCGCCCCTATCAGTGGACTAGGGAAGGGGCATAGAGGGAGAAGAAGGAGGGAGGGTGATATAGGGAGGAGAAGAGGGGAGGAGGCCACAGCCAGGATACAAACTGAATAAATTGTAATATATTAGAATAATAAAAGAGCCTATTAAATTAAATAAAATCTATTTCTTCATCCATTTACACTTATTCTACTATACCAGGTAGGACAGTACATGAGTATGCAAACAAGAGTGCTATATCCTACATTGCTTGAAATTCTCCTGATATGTTGTTTCCAATACTCTTGCCACTAGCCACATATGGGTACCAATCACCTGACATGTGGATAACACTGAATCAACAATCTTGTTTAATTTTAGTTGCTTTAAATGAATATATAAATCACCACATCCAGTAGTATCTGCTGCCCTGGGCAAAATTTATAATCATTTCTTCTGCTCATGTCTACTTAACTACCAAGAGAAGACCAGGAAAGAATAACAAAGGGCAGAGAATAAAAGTAACAGTGGACTAGAATGAGGAGGAAGACTGTAGATGTAAGAATCTTCTGAAGACAATTGCAACCATGTCACAGTTTGGTGTGAGGATAGTGTTTCCTGTGCCCTGCCAGCCCTCTGTATCCATGGTTTCTGCCCCTGCACATTCAGCAAGCTACAGTTGAAGAATACTCAGAACATGTGCAGGCTTTTTCTTTATTTCCTAAACCATTCAGTGTAACAAAAATTTATTCAACATTTTTATCCTTAGATATTTTTAATAATCTCAAAATTATTTATCATATAAAAGAGAACATACCTACCTTACATGAGGGACTTATACACATAAAGATTTTAGTTCCTTTGGGTATTCTTAAAGCAATTTCTCCTAGATACTGAGGAATAGACAACTGATAATCTTCTTCAGCTACACTTCAGTCTCTATACTCCCCACCCTGCAGAAAATCCTGGTTAGTGCACTTATTGGATTGGCACATGCACTGAGCAAGTATTCTAGCCTTTTCAAAGGACTCACTTTGAAAAGCTCTGTTCCTTCGCCCTTTGTATCCAAAGGCAAAACTATAATGAACCTGAATTTCTTCCTTCTGAAACTCATTTCATGAATTTTAGGTTGATGGCTAGGGGAAGGTTTGAGAATATAAACTGTTTGGGTTTTGATTCTTGTTTTATGTAATTAATTAATTAACTTTCTATTTAGTTTTTCAGATACTATATGTTGATAGTCTTTCACCTCCCCTAAGTCTTCCTAACTCCTTCAAGATCCTCCCCACCCCTCCCTACTAAGTTTTTTTTTTTTTTAATGTAGTCATTGCTGTACTGTAACTTGCTATATAGACCGGGCCAGCCTCGAACTCACAGAGATTCTCCTGTCTCTATATCAAAAGTGCTTGGATTAAAGGTGTGTGTCACTGTGCCTGTCCTTTAAAATTTTTTTTATAGATAATTTTATTTGATGGGTATAGAACCTAGGAATATAGAGGGCCAACTGTATTTTATTCCAGATGAGAGAACTCTCATTCAGAATGAATTGAAATTTTACCCATGTTGTTATGCTTGAAAGGAAAGGAATCTTCAGAGGTCAGATTTGGAATGGTACTCTGTGGTTTATTTTAGTTTCCCATATTTTCTCTGTCCTATGTTCTAAAAGTTGAAGACTGCTTCCCCTGGCATTAAGTGACCAGGCACAATACACACGTATGGAGTTCCAGGTGCTCAAGAGGCTGAGGTAGAAAGGCCACATGAGATCAGGTGTTCATGGTTGTTCTAAACAACATAGTGAGACCCTGCCTTTAAAAGAAAAGTTGAAAGAGGAGTGGCTCCTCATAAAATAGGAACATGCATTCTCTTGTATTTCACATAGTTTCCAATGACCACTTTGATTTTTGTTCCTTTTGTCTGCCAGTGTCTTATGTAACTGGTCTCAAAAATCACTATATAGCTGAAGTTCGTGCCTCTATCTCCCAAGGGTTGGGATTACAGTTATGCACCACTACACCCAGTTTGTGCAGTGCTGGGGAATAAACCAAAGGTTTTATGAGTGCTGGGGAGGCACTGTACCAACTGTGTTGCAACCTCTGGACCTACTCTGAGTTATTTCTTTTTTTTTAATAGAACCATGATTACCTAGCCCTCTCCATGACATCAATTTAGTTTTCTTTCATACTCTTAGAATAAAATGTGTTATGTTTGGCCTCTAAATTTCTCAAATTGAAAATTGTATGTTTCATTGCAATTGTTATGGTCAAAATGATAGGGTAATAGACATGTTCATTCACTTCACTTTTTCCTAAGATTTCTGTGGAACCATGGTTATTGAAGGGGAAGAAGCTCCAGTTGCATATACATTGGATGATACCAAACCGGATGGGAGCTATGCTGCTATAATGGGGTAAGGCAAATTTATAGTATTGTAGCTGTGTTTACTATTGGCAAGATAATAAAATACTATTGATTAACGCATACAAAGCTTTGTTAAAACAGAATTTTACTTAATACTATTATTCTCCAAATCCAGTGATAGAAGTATTCTTATTGCTTCCTTTTAAATAAAAGATAACTAGATGTCAAATACCAATAGCATTTACATTTTCTTATATTCATTTTCTACTTCATATCACTGTGTCATTACATATATGTTGGGGCCATTTTTATATAACAGACTGATACTAAGAGGAGTGTTTTAATAAGAGTACTTCTTATGGAGACTTGTGAGTATCTAATTTGTCTACTATGTATTCTGTTGCTACAGTATGATCCTTAGGCCTGGGTAACACATAAAGAGAAATGGTTCATTGTAGCTCAGTTATAGAAGTCCAAGAGCATGGAATCAATATTTACTATGCTTTGGATGAAGATCTTGTGTTACTCTGTACACAGCAGGAAGGAAGCAAGGGCACAAGCAGAGAAGCCAAACTTGCTATAAAAAATAGTCAACTCTTCCAAGAAGCAGTCCATTATCATGGAAACCATATTAACCCTTTGAATTCCTCACAATTCAAAATGTTCTGAAAGGCCTTACCAGCACTCCACCCTACTATATTGTGAATGGAATTTCAACATGAGTTTTGGTGAGGACAACTCTATTGAAATCACAGTAAACATTACTTTGTGGGTTATTGAGATTTTTCTGAATTCCACTACAAAGAAGTAGAGGCCAGTCCTAACTTCAACTTTCCAGGGAAGACCACCACAACTAAAGAGTGTTTGGGAGCCAGTACTTGAGGCAAAGATACATTTACCTTGAGGAATAAAAATTGAGAAAGCTATCAGAAAGCCAAGGTGATAACAAAGTGGACAGCAAGTTGCTATGCAGAAAGCAATTGCAGGGCTGGACAATTTAGAGACAGCATCTAAAAAGGTTGAGTGTTACAGAGTCATCATGTTGGATACAGAACAAAAGGGCAAGAAAGAACTGGATGGCTCAGAACTGGATAGCCATAAGTGAGCAGCTGAGGCCCAAGTCCCTTTCTTGTAGTCACTAGTCGACTGGAGGGAAGTTATTCAGTCATCATATTAAACTAGGCAGAAATCATGGCCAGTCATTTACTTTTAGTCCCTTAATCCCCCAAACCCAGAAAGTGCTTCTTAGTGTCAGGAACACAATGTATAAACAAGGACACTGTGAAAAATAAGTTAGAATGCAGATGGCTTCTGCCTAATAAAGGCATGTGTAAATATAGAAATGAAGCAAAGATCAAAGAAAGTATTAAATTTCCTTGTTTTTCTTGTTTGTATGTTTTAGATTTATCCTTGCTCATAAAGCTAGAAAACTGGCACGCCTTACTAAAGAAGAAAGGTAACAAAATACTCTTTCTTCATTCCCTCTTCTCTTCCTTCCCTCCCTCCTCCTGTTTACCCCTCTTTTCTTCATTTTTCTTTTTCTCCTCCTTGCCACTCTCATTTTTCTTTTTCTCCTCCTTGCCACTCTCCTCCCTGCCACTCTCCTTCTTTTTGCTTTCATTTTCTCTCTCCATAACACCTGTCTGCTTTCCTTCTTTCCTGCTCTCTTTTCTTCCCTTCCCTGTCACCTTTCTTTCTTCCTTTTCTCCTTCCTTATTTTTTTTTTTAGTTTCTAGAAGGATTTTTTTTTACAGCAAAAGCACACACTCAATAGGAAGTGTAAGCTTCCCAAGTAAGTCACTTTGTCTTCTTCTTTGTCTTCCTCTGTCTTCTTCTCTGCCTCAGTTCTTTTCTTTTTTAATATTTGCTGGCCTTTCAATGTTTATTAACTTTTCAATTTAAGAATACCTCACAATATGTGTATTTCTAATGTAATATATCTGTTATGTTAACAAAGGTCTTATATATCACAATTCTTATTACTTAAGAACCAAAATTAAGTTAATACTTATCAATCTATTATAAACAAGACATTGAGCATTATTAATATGGATATAATGCAAGTGCTGAACATTTACTTATGGGGGAGATAACCAGGTAGACAAATAACTAGGTTAGGCAGCAATACATAAGTGATGCATAGCAATTATAAGTTATTAGTACAAAGATTAATTTTTCTGAAGGTGATTGCTTCTGGTAATTTGTATTCACCACTGCCAAATATGTATAGCTGCACCAAAACTGATAACATATTTAATCAAGGCCCATGTAACTTCACAGTGCATTCTTTCAGTCTTCGTAGCTTGTTCCTCCATAACCCATGCTACCTTGGTGCATGAGCAAAGCTGTGGAGGTCTGAATAGACCACAGGATTGAAATGTCCTCATTGGAATATAAGTTCCATGAAAGATAGACTATTACCTTATTGACTCCCTGCTGAATCTTCAATGCCTTGAACAAATTGTTTCCCATTTTATATTTTGTATTATGTTCATAGAATGATACATCATATACTGTAATAACTACATCTTTTAGGTATTCAGGGTTATTCATTTTAATAGTTTAATAAATGATCTGCCATACACAGCAAATTTCAATATACTAGTTTTGCTTTATATCTTGATTAGATTATATTTTTAAGTGTGACATGGTTGTACATGTGTGTACAATGTAATTGTACACGCAATACATGTGTGTGGTAGAAAGAATGTGTGTGTGTGTTCAGGTGGCCTTGGAGGCCAGAAGTGTTGGATACCCCTAGAGATGAAGTTATAGGTAGCTATGAAGTGTCTAGTATGGATGCTGTGAACTGAATATGGGTTCTCCAAAGAACTGACACTCTTAGCCACTGATTTATTTCTCCAGCCCTACAAAATATGTATCTTTAGTTGTCCATTTTTCCACTACTTTTGGGTGATTTTAATGAGAGAGGTATAGGTTGAGTTTCTGCCTATTCAGGCTGCCCTCTGACTCATTACCCAGCCCAGACTTGCCTTTAACTCACAAACTTCCTGCCTCCATCTTCCAAGTACTGAAATTACAGGCATACATCTCCATGCCAACTTTGCATTCATCTATTATCTGAAAATCTTTTCTTTTTCTGAAGTATATTTTGATGTAAGAGGTAATGCCATGGAGAATGAAGGCACTCATGAGAACTTAACCAAAAGAGCTACTGATGGCTTCTAGAACAGGGAGAGTCAATTTTCATTAAGGATGTAGACACTACTAAATTGGTCATGATCTGGTATTTAACCCCAAACCCAAGAATATATAGCTAACACAAACTGAACTTGGTGAGTTATAAAAATATAAATAAATAAGAAGAAATAGAGAGTATATATGGAAGGAGTTAAAGAAAGGATTTGGGGGATGAAATTAACAGAATACATTATATAAATGCATGAAATTCTCAAATAATTAATAAAGCATATTTTCATTTTAATTAATTAATTAATTATTACAATTTATTCACTTTTATCCCAGATGTAGCCCCCTCCCTCATCTACTCTCAGCCCCACCTTCTCTTCCTCTTCTCCTCCTATACCCTCCCCTAGTACACTGATAGGGTTGACTATCTATCTGACCCTTGCTTATCAGGTCTTATCAGGACTGGCTGCACTGTCTTCCTCTGTGGTGTGGTAAGGTTGCTCCCCAGGGGAAGGTGATAAAAGAGCCAGCCACTGAGTTCATGTTAGAGACAGATCCTTGCTCCCCTTACTAGGGCACCTGCTTGGAGACTGAGCTGCCATGGGTTACAGTTTAAAAAAAGAGATGAAGTTCCAGTTTCATTTCTTTACTGAACAGCCATATTTTTTTAATTATCAGTCTCTTCTTCAAAGGTTTAAAATTACCCCTTCACGAATTCTATACCTCCTTAATTATTTCATTCTATTTATGAAATTAATTGCGTATCTCCTTTCTGTCATCATTCTCCTGTTCATGTAAATTTATTTCAAAGAGGGTACGAAGAAATTGATTTTTTTATTCTTTTGCTTATAGAAGGAGTTTCTAGATTTAAAACAATATTACATTTTAGAAAGCTATTTATTTTCATGTGTATGGATGTTTTACCTGCATGTATGTCTGTGTACCACATGTGTGCCATTCCTAGTGTCCACTAATGCCAGGAGAGTGTGTTGGATGCTCTGGGACAGGAGTTATACTTTCACTGTGAACTGCCACGTGGATCTGAGGATTGAACTCAAGTCCTCGTAAAGAGCAGCTGATTTTCTTAACTCCTGAACCAACTCTTCAGTCCACAAAGATACTACTTTTAAAACTTATTGGCCAATATATAAATCATGCTTACTATCCCCTTGTGCATTCCTATTCTATAAAAGCCAATATTGAAACTTCTATGTTTATTTATAGAAATATAAATATATCAGTGACTAGATTTGTGTTAATTGATATATTGGTTGATTCATCTTAATGGACAAATTATAACAGTTGTCTTGCTTCCAATTTCTGCACTAGACATAAGAGCTAGTATTTACTGAGCATTTATTTACTAGAAAACATTTTTGGGCTAGGAACTTTGTATTGGTAGTTTTCAAATTTGAGAATAGAATGTTTATGAAGCACAGCTTACTGCTTCTTTCCTTTCTAAATCAAGAAGTCAGAGACAGAACCCGAGACTCATCTTTGGTAAGTTGATGTCCACGGTGATTCACTTTACTTTCTTTCATAAAGATTTGGCAACAGTCTCACTCCATTCCTATTTGTGAGCTCAATGGTTTTAAGACATTAGAAACAAGGCAAATTCTTTGTTTGTAACAGTTAAACTGAAGCTGTGTATGGCCACACTTACTTGTAATCATGTAACATGAGGAGCCAAGGAAGGAGGATTGAAAATGGCAAGCACACCTGACAGAGAGTGACATAACAGGACAGCATCTCAAACAAGAGAAAACAGTAATTAGTTAACATGAAATGTTAAAGTGGAAGCAATGATACCCAGAGTCTTTTTTTTTTTAAGGGAATAGATGCCTGCCTCTCACTTTTTCTTTTCCTTACTTCTTTGAGCATTCACTTTGATCATTAAAACATTTTTTTCTCTCTTGTACAGAATGAAGAAACTTTGTGAGCTATATGCAAAAGTTCTGGACTCCCAAGAAGCTCTTCAGGTAAGGCTGTTTCCCAGCTTTGCCCCAAAGTGAGAAGCCTGCTTTGTCTTGAAAGGCTTCTCGGGATGGATTTATGCCAGTGGGACACTACAGCTTATCTTTTCCAAATAAACCCACAGAATTGTCTGTACATGTAAGGTTAATGCATAAATGGTCCCCGGAAGTGTGAGTAAGCCCTGACTGTGCAAGGAACCTGTGACATGCTCTGGTTTAAGCAGTGCTTTTTTGTCTCTAAATTCAGACCTGTCTCAGGATAAAGCTATTAAGTAACAGCAGTTTGTATATTAAAGTTCCTAGCATTGTATGAAGTTGTTGAATAGAGACCCTCACTTATTGAGGAAAGCAGTTGCTTTTTTTAATTATTATTTCTCAAAAGGAGAAAACATTTCATTTGAGAAATTCTCTTCTAAGAAGGATATTGATGATTTATTTCTGGTAGTAAAATGATGTTGCTTCTGTCCTATGCTTTTTGTACAAAGAAAGTCACTTGCATCACTGTGGCTTTGGTCTTTCTTGTGTGAGGAGAAGAAATTCCTTGGAGGAGGGACAAATGAAAGAAAAAGCCCAACCTTTCTTCTGATTTGCTCCAAAGAGCCAAAAAAGGGTGCTCAGGAAGCAACAGTAGTCCTCAGATGTCAAAACACAGCATGATAACGATGATATCAAAATAGGCCCAGAGCCATTCACTACTTGAGGCACAGCCTCATACTTTGTCAATAGGGTGCCTTAAATGACTGAGCAAAGTCAATATGATTGCAATTTTTTTTCTAGCAAAACCATTTACAAAGTCTAGTTTTAAATATTTCACATGTCAATTTTTTCTCTTCAAATTGATGCTTAGTTTTAAACTTTCTGCTTAGGTTATTCATTGTCAGTTCCTCCCACCACCAGGTAGAATTGAACCTAGGATATTGACATGCTAGGTCTGTGCTCTATCACGAAGCTGTACCTCTGGCCTCTATTTTTATAAGCAGTTCAAATTTTGTAAAACTCTCCACTAAAATCAACCTGTTAATAGCTAAAATATATTTTCCAAACCAATGGTTCTTTTCCAAGTTTAACCATCCAACCATAGTGAGTACATACTATGAATATCACTCCACCTTCAGCAAAGCTCACCTTACCAAAACATGAAACTCACCATCATTTTTTTTTTGTTTGTTTGATTTTGTTTTGTAGACTGGCATATCTGCTTTTTTCTTGGTCAATCAGTCTTGCAAACAATATTATCTAAAAACATTCTCAAAGCCATTAGACATGAAAAAATTTCTGATTCTTAAAGAGAAAGTAAAAATGAAAACAGATAATTACTATTTATGTGCAAGAACTTAAGATACTCATGTCCAGGAATACTGGTGCATTTCCATAATCCTAGTACTTGGAAGGTGAAATCAGGAGAGGAGAATCAAGAACATCAGGCCATTATGTTTCCAGACGAGACTTTTCTCAATAATAATAATAATGATGATGATAATAATAATAATAATGAGACATGCATGTGCCAAATAAGAAATCTTTCTAAAATTATCACAAGTTTATTGCTGAAAACATTTACTTGCCAAAAGACCCATCTTCAGAAACATTGGGATAATACAGCCCTATTTCCAAAGTACAGTCTAGCCTCTATTTGCAGAGGTTCTGCAAAATATTATTTTTAAATTCACATGCACTGAAATTCAATGTGAAAAATATTTGCATGGAATTTATATTGCATTATGTACTATTAATAATCCAGAGATAATTTAAAGCATACAGGCGGATGTGCACAGGTTACACGCAAACACTAAAACCACTTTTTACAAGGCGGCTTTTGATTATCTATAGGAAGCAGGGAGAATCGGGAACACTGTCCTTCACACTCTGAGAGACAGCTGCAATTTGTCCTGTGCTATGAAATCTACCAGAATGTGCTTTATAAACAAAAAGAAAACACCTTCCTCTGCCTCTTTTTCAAACCATTGTTCCTCTGCCTTACAGCCAGTCCATTATGAAGAGAAGAACTGGTGTGAGGAGCAGTACTCTGGGGGCTGTTATACAACCTACTTCCCTCCTGGCATCTTGACCCAGTATGGAAGGTACTATCCAAATATTTCACCAACTCATTCAGGGATAGCACATCCAGACAAGCCATGTTCAATAAATAAAAGTGTGCTGGGCTGTGACTGAAAGTCCCTGGAATTGAAACCAGGATCCAAATAGGTTACTATGTTTTACCTTTGGTTTTGCTTTCTTGTAAATACCAGAAAGAAAGACTATCCAGAATTTTCTTTCACACTCATAAATCTCACGAAGGAAGTCACTGTACTGTACCGTTTTGCATCTTCCACTCTTCATTACTCCAGAGACACAAACTCAATCAATGTAACTGTTGACACATAAGGCACAAGTTAGATAGCCAGAGGGCTTGTTCATACTACTAGTAGAGTGTCCTAAGCCTGTGCCTAACACTCAGGAAACTTCTTCAAAATCATTTCTAGACCAGGAAGGAAATGTATTGAGTTCTTTCTCTAATCCTACAAATCACCTATTTAGTAATTTCTTGTTGTTAAATTTTATTTTCCTTAAAACAGAGATGATATGATCATAGCCTTAGTTATTCTTTACAACTTTATTCTGCTTATAACCGGTGATATAACTCACCCTTCAGGGTTCACAGGCTTTTAGCACTCATAGCATTGTGCAGCCAAGTAAAAGCCACTAATGCTGAGTTCAGGGAATTGATGGCAATAACAAGGTGTGAACTAATGTACATTACTCTGCTTCTCCTAGCAACACTAAGCTAAAATGGGAAAGATAATGAAAGGTTGTTGAGAGTACAGCACAGTGTATCAGTGGATGAAAGCTACTGGTCAGATCTCCATGGAAACCAGGTGAAGAGGGTTAAAACCTGCTTATCATCAAATGATTAAAGAATGAAGATCATGGTCCTTATTTGCCTAGAGATGCCAAAATAGAATCCAAAGCACATTAAGGGCTAAAGGGTACTTACTGCCCAATAAACTTCTTAGTCATTAGATTACTTTTCAGATATGTTAAGTGTAGACTAAATCACTAGTAATGGTTTCATTTAATGTGCATTGAAAAAGTACCAACCACTTGCTTACCACTTCCAAAATGTCAATATGAAGGTTATACATTCTTGCTGAAGAGCTGACAACATTGGAGGCAACTTTGAGGAGAAGAGGAAGGTTAGAACATAAGAAATGAAATACTAGGGCTAGGGCTTTAAGGGGTATAAAATATTCTGGAGACCCATGGATTTGGAAGTTTTCCTTACCTAGTGAAATGTGCAGTCCCTTCATATCAAATTGTAGAGGGCAGAAGAATCCTTCTGGGAAATGCAGGGAAACAGCCATTGCTTAGAATCCTACAAGTTCTTATAAGGTCTTAGGCAAAGCTAAGTGTGACAGGACTATAATGATGACAGAATAACAAGAATCAGGGATGGAGAGGTGACTCAAAAGTTATGAGTACTTAGTTTTATTGCAGAGGACCTCAGTTCATTTGCCAGCACCTACATCTCACTATACACTGTAACTCCAGCTCCAAGAAATCCCCTTACCCTTGTTATGTGAGGTACCTGCACTCACATAATAAAATTCAAATTTTTAAAATTTTTATTAATTACACTTTATTCACTTTGTATCCCTCCATAAACTCCTCTCTCCTGCCCTCCAATCCCACTTTCACTTGCCCTTCTCCACGCATGCCCCTCCCCAAGTCCACTGATAGGGGAGGTCTTCCTCTCCTTCCTTCTAATCCTAGTCTATCAGATATCATCAGGAGTGGCTGTATTGTCACCTTCTGTGGCCTGGTAAGGTGATCAAAGAGCAGGCCAATCAGTTCATGTTAGAGGGAGTCCCTGTTCCCATTACTATGAAACCCACTTGGACACTGAACTGCCATGGGCTACATCTGTACAGGGGTTCTAGATTATCTCTATGCTTGGTACTTGGTTGGAGTATAAGTCTCTGGGAAGACCCCTGTCCTCAAATTTTTTGATTCTGTTAGGCTCTCCTTGTGGAGTTCCTGTCCCCTCCAGATCTTACTGTTTCCCACTTCTTTCATAAAATTCCATTCACTCTGCCCAACAGTTGGCCATAAGTCTCAGCATCTGCTTTGATAGTCTGCAGGGCAGAGCCTTTCAGAGGCCCTCTGTGGCAGGCTCCTAACTTGTTTCTTGTTTTCTTCTTCTTCAGATGTCCATCCTCTTTGCCTTTCAGGATGGGGATTGAGCTTTATAGCCAGAGTCCTTCTTTGATTAGTTTCTTTAGGTGTACAGATGTTAGTAGGTTCATCCTATATTATATGGCTATATGAGTGAATATATACCATGTGTGTCTTTCTGCTTCTGGGATAGCTCACTCAGGATGATCTTTTCCATTTCCCACCATTTACCTGCAAATTTCATGATTTCCTTGTTTTTTATTGCTGAGTAATATTCCATTGGGTAGATGTACCATAATTTCTGCATCAATTCTTCAGTTGAGGGTCATCTTGGCTGTTTCCAGCTTCTGGCTATTACATATAAAGCTGCTAAAAACATGGTTGATCAACTGTCCTTGATGTATACTTGAGCAACCTTTGGATATATATAGGAGTATTATGGCTGAATCTTGAGGAAGCACTATTCCTACTTGTTTGAGAAAGCACCAGATTGATTTCCAAAGTGGTTTACAGTTTACATTCCCACCAGCAATGAAGGAGGGTTCCCTTTTCTCTACAACCTCTACAGCATGTGTTGTCACTTGAGTTTTTGAGGTCAGGGATGGAGATTTCTCCAGGCAATCTGCTGTTGTATAGGAATGTTGTAGCAATTTTGAGTTTTTAATTCAAATAAAATGTCAAAAATTGAGCTAGAAGATCTGTAGGATTCTTTGTGTCATATGACATATTAGAGGTTATGAAACTTTGACTTTTAATTGCTGCATTGCTTTGGGTTTGAGTTGTACTTTAAATCCAAAGTAGACTGTAATTTGATATCTGAGCACTCAGTGCTGAGATCCATGCAGAGTTTCAGAGAGTATCAGCTAAATGCCTGTAGGGGTGAGGAGTACAAAAATTCCTTCATTTATCAGGCCTTGGAATAAATGTGAGAAGCAAGAAAAATCCCACTGCATTACGCATTGCTGGTAACATAACAATGCCTTTCATCTTTGTCTCTTCTCTTGGCTGTGTTTCAGGTTTCATGTCATTATGTAGAAATTAAGGCATGACATAACCCCCAGCACAAACAGAGCCTGTTTCACTGGATGCCCTGGACCTTGCAGGACCATGACACCTGGCATACTGCAATGAGTTTTGTTTTTAGGGTCCTAGATGTATTCAACAAGTGCTCTGCTTCCAGGTAGAAGACAGAGAACAAAATAAGCAGAGAAAATTATTAGAGAACTGAATACATGTTTCTTAAGAAACTTCTGTTGTTGATATTGTAGAGGAAATTTACTATAATTTAGTGAAATTATATGCAGTAAAATACATACTTCACGGGGAATATATGTTGAGGTCTCCCTTTTGATATTCTCTTTCTCCATCCTAATTGTATATACTATCTGTTCACTCATATAGAGGAAGTAAGACAATTTCCACACAGCAATTGAACAGAAACTCTCTCTCTCTCTCTCTCTCTCTCTCTCTCTCTCTCTCTCAATTTCTCTGTTCAGTTCTTGCTTTTTACATTTTTATATGAAATTGTTAGTTCTCTATGTCTTAGTCTTCCAGTCCTTAGGGTTTGGCCACAACACCCCTCCCCCCCAATGAGATCTCCATCTGAAAGTTTCTTCTGCTGTGCAAAGTGATGCTGAAATGCCTCAGAGTTTAACAAGCATGGAGAGGGCAAATCCACCTTCTGTCCCTACAAAAACTTTCTGAATGCCCTCTGGCTTCCAATAATTATAGATGATTCCATGTATTATAATAATTTTACCAATCCTTTATATACCCCTGCCATTTGTATGGCTATAATAAATGCTGGTGAAGTAAAATATAACTATTCAAGTAAAACTTTTAAGTTTTCAGATAAGAGGTCCAGGAACATGCCATATTATATAAGTTAGGGTTTTTTTGTTTTTGTTTTTGTTTTGTTTTGTTTTGTTTGTTAACCTAGAACACAATACTGGGCAATATTTACTCCTTCCTAAACCTTTAAGCCCTCAGTTTCCTAACATTTAGATTTCCCATATTATACTTGCTTTTTGTGACATCTTAGGTCTGGTTCATGCTCCACGTCCTCCAAGATCTCTCCTCCAGCTATGCTCTCCTTGCTCTCCTCTTGCTCCTTCTCCTCCCACTCATCTCCTGCCTTCTGGTTCCTCCCCTCTTTCCTGTCCTCTGACTCCTCCCTGCTCAACATTGTATCTAGTTGCTTTATTTTGTCTTGTTTACACAAGAGTTGAGACAGGATGCTTAGAATGATTATCACAATGCAATTTCCGATTGAAATCAGAGAGTTGGGGGTGGGGTGGGGGAGAAATCAGTATTTGAATGAACAAGGGTAAGGTGTATACATTTAAAAAAAAACATTATACCAACATTTCTCCCTTTAAGTCCAATAAAAGGCTCTTTTTCTTTCAAAACAATAATAATTATGAAATTATGAAAACTGTTAGGTAAAATCTACATGTGCAATGTCTAGTCCATGTGTATTTAGCACATGGAGAGGGTATCTTAGGAGAAAGTATCTGATTATCCTATCTATCTTTACACGTTTAAAGTTTTATACCTAAATTAACTTTTATCCTTATTGGCATTACCTATATGAAAAGATTTCTTAACTTCTAAACAATTTAAGCTTAAATGTGGTACTGTAACTATTTGGTCTTCAACCCTATCAGAGACTTGAGAATGAATAAAATTAGTAATGAGAGTAAATAGGAAGTGCATGTTAGCAGCTTCCAAAAAATAAAAATTGACAGAGACAGTTTGCTGCTGAACAGTCACCCATAACTCTATAACATTGGAGCAGCATCTTCAGCCTTCTGGCTCAATATATTTGACAGACATATACGTGAATCAGGAACTATTTAGGACTTGCTTACCCTGTCTTAGCAGAGTTCAGCAGGCGACTTGTCCTGCATTTAAGCTTGCCCATTTTAGGCAGAATTTGTCTGTTGTGAAGCGAGGGTATTTTCTTTACCCTAGTGACTTATTTGCCACATTTGAAGCCATCTCCATATGGAGGTTCTTCATGCTCATTATCTTCTTTCAGATAGGTGGAGTGCTGCCAGGAAATGACTTGTCTCATTGTCAAAGAATCTTTAAAATAATAAGAACATTTTAAATGCCATATTCTGTATGTCTCTGAAGTTTTTGAAGACTACCTATCTTTATGTAATCGATTATATTAGGACCGAATACTTGACAAAAATAATTTGTTTTTTCTTATGATTTAGAAGTATAAATCTATAATGATGTAGATAGCATGTTAGAACAGCTCACATCATAATAGGCAGAATGCAGAGCAAAGCAGTAATGAGAGGCCAGGGTAATTCATATCCCCAAAGACACAGTCTTATTGGAATATTTTCTCAAATAGACACATTTCCCACAGTTCTACCACCTTACAATAGTCTGCTCTCATTGTCAATCCATCAATAGAGACTACATTATCAAATATTCCCTGAAAACCTTTGTAGACATGTGTAGAAGAGACAGGTGTTAATAGCATAAGCTTTGTTCTGATCTCTGGAATTATCCCTTATCTGATCATGGAAGCCTGAGATAGGATGAAATGGCTCTGGATACACTTTTTTATGGTGTCTTTGTAAGCGTGATAGTGGACTGTCCTTACAGACTAAGTGCCTGTGACTCTTTCATCCATTTGCTTAGCATGTGAGTACCCTGGAAACTGGTAATGGTAATATATCAGATAACACAAAGCATCAAAATAGAAATGTTGACATCTGATGGACATATTTCAAATGCTGGCTCTGCTGTTTTCTATCAATGTGACTCTTGCTGTGTCATTGCACATTCTTCCAAGACTGTTTGTTTATATGTAATGTGAAATGTTAACTAGTAGTGTTGTCATGGAGTTCTTGAAAAGACTATAAAGAAAATAGAATATAATACAGAGGTAACATGTAGGAAGGTGACCAGGACTATGTCAGAGTTGTTAAAAAATTTTTGGCTTCAAATACTACATCTGCCACTTACTGTCTGTAGGCTAGAAAAAAATCACTTCATGTTTGTTATTGGTTAGTTTCTAGGAAGCAGACATTGAAGTAATCAATAGACAGGATAGATATTATACTGTGTCCTTAATTTGAAACCTATGGAAGAGAGAGGAAGGAAACAAGAGTGGGTGAAAGGGCAAGGCAGGTGGTGATGCAGTTCTAATGAAGTTGCCAGCTGACTCCATGAAGCACTCTAGACATAGAATTGTCCTTCTAAGTGATAGTTTCATGTTGAATTTAGGGTTTGCATCTTAAAAATATTATTTATACTAGTTGGTTGCTGATTGTACTAGAAGGAAGCATGAGGTAGTTTTCTCCAATGGAAATAGTCATTATCTCCAAAAAATGTCAGCATCAGAATACCATCTTCTGGAAAGACTTCTACCAACAAACAAATCCTTTATTCTTGGTGGTGTATCACAGTGTTTACCACAGCCTACCTATACATTTGCGTCTGGGAAATGTAGCTAATAATAGTATTGGGGTTATGGTAAAGATTAGGAACTTTGAAGAGCTGGTGCTGAAAAAATTTTAACTTAAGTGTTTGATGCAGTATTTCTGAACCCTAGTGGATGGTAGTTAAAGAAGCTGTAAGACTCATTTAATTCTTCAGTGTCACTAATGGAAGTCATCTTGAAAATTATTAGACTATCCCTTTAAGAGACAGATAAGAGCTAGGGATGTGGTTCAGTGGTGGAATACATGCCTAGCATACATAAAGTCCTGGGTTCTATATCATATAAAAACAAAGAAAATAAGTTCAAAAACAGATGAGGCAAGCATATCTTGATAAGACAAGACTGTCAAGTTCAATGGTAGAAAAACTAGATAAGAAATCTGTACAACTTAAGAAATTAATCAAGAAGGAGGACTCTGGGTAAGATGCTCAAGCCTCATTCAGAAAGGCAAAGAAGATGGACATAAGAAGAGGGAGAAAACAGGGAACAGGACAGGAGCTTACCACAGAGGGCCTCTGAAAGACTCTACCCTGTAGGGTATTAAAGCAGATTCTAAGATCCATAGCCAAACTTTGGGCAGAGTGCAGGGAATCTTATGAAAGAAGGTAGAGATAGACTTGAAGGGGACAGGAGCTCCACAAGGAGAGCAACAGAACAAAAAAATCTGGGCACAGGGGTCTTTTCTGACACTGATACTCCAATGAAGGACCATTCATGGAGATAACCTAGAACCCCTGCACAGATGTGGCCCATGGCAGTTCAGTGTCCAAGTGGGTTCCATAGTAATGAGGACAGGGACTGTCTCTGAAATGAACTGATTAGCTTGTTCTTTGATCACCTCCCCCTGAAGGGGGAGCAGCTTTACCAGGCCACAGAGTAAGACAATGCAACCACTCCTGATAATACCTGATAGACTAGGATCAGAAGAAAGGGGAAAGGCAGGGGTGGAGAAGAGGGATGGAGGGTGGAATTTGGAAAGGAAGAGGAAGGGAGCTACAGGTGGGATACAAAATGAATAAACTCTAATTAATAAAAAAGAATAACATTTAAAAATCAAAAGCTTGTATCACCTTCTTCTTATAAAGGGAAGCATTCCTAACTGTATTTACTCAGTCCCTCATTTATAAAGATGAATCAAATACATATGTGAACCTCCACACCCATTTCAGCTTTTTCCTGTTAGTTATTGGTAAAGGTGTTTGTGTAGTTTAGCTTTTGTTCCATTTTGCCCATGACAAAGATGATACAAGAGTTGAAGTAACCTGAGGAACATTATTCCACACTGGCAGTGTCCTCCTAGAAGGTTTGAATCTGAAAAAGCAAACTTGCTTTGGTACTCTTGCAAGAATTCATTTCTGGTCGTATGCAATGTCATTTACTACTTCGATTTTGTTCCCAGGGTTCTACGTCAGCCAGTGGGCAAGATTTTCTTTGCAGGAACTGAGACTGCCACACATTGGAGTGGCTACATGGAAGGGGCTGTGGAGGCTGGAGAGAGAGCTGCCAGAGAGGTAGGGCTCAAGCTCATGGGCAGTGGGAGAGGAAGCAACACAAAAACTTGATGCACAGCTCAAAGACACCTGAGATCTTGGCAGTAACATAAACACACCATATTCCCCATCTAAAGACCCAGGAAACACTGTTATAACAGAAGTTTTAAGTAAAAGGAACACCGTAATCAAATAAAATAATGAAAATATCTAATATTTTATCTGAAGTGGGGGGGGTCATAATGCAGGTGTGCTACAGACATGATGGGACTGGAAAGATATTTCAGCAAGTAAAAGCCCTTCCCACTCTGAGAAGACCTGAGTTTGGTTCCCAACACCCTGTAAGAGGCTCACAAGTGCCTGGAACCTCATTTCCAGGCGATACAATACCATCTTCTGAACTCAGAGTACATCTGAACAGCACACAAAGACACACATGAACATAGTTACAAACATAAGAGATCTTTAAAAATAGAGGATGGGGTAAGGTGGCCCAATAGTTAAGAACACTTGCTGCTCTTACATAGACTTGGTTCCCAGCACTCAGTTTTGGGAAATCTGGTGCCCTGTTTTGGCTTCCAAAGCTTCCTTCAAGCATCTGGTGGACTTACAGACACACGGGCAAGCACACATACACTTAATTTTTAAAATTTTTATTAAAAAAATAAAAGCAATGTGAGGTATCCCAGAAACAGAAAGACATGCATGGTATACACTCACTTGTAAGTAGATATTAAACATACAATATAGGATAAACATACAAAAATCTGTACACCTAAAGAAGCTAAGCAAAGAGGAAGACCCTGGGTAAGATGATCAATACTCATTCAGAAAGGCAAATGGGATGGACATTGGAAGAGGGAGAAAACAGGGAACAGAACAGGAGCCTAACACAGAGGGCCTCTGAAAGACTCTGCCCATCAGGGTATTAAAAGCAGATGCTGAGACTCATAACCAAACTTTGGGCAAAGTGCAGGGAATCTTATGAAAGAAGGTAGAGATAGACTTGAAGGGAATAGGAGCTTCACAAGGAGAGCAACAGAACCAAAAAAATCTGAGCACAGGGGTCTTTTCTGAGACTCATACTCCAACCAAGTACCATGCATGGAGATAACCTAGAACCCCTGCACAGATGTAGCCCATGGCACTTCACTGTCCAAGTGGGTACCCTAGTAAGGCGAACAGGGACTTTCTCTAACATGAACTCAGTGGCTGGCTCTTTGATCACCTCCCCCTGAGGGAGTAGCTGCCTTACCAGGCCACAGAGGAATACAGTTCAGAGAGTCCGATGAGACCTGATAGGCTAGAGTCAGAGGCAAGGGGAGGAAGACACCCCCTGCCAGTGGACTGGGAGAGGGTCATAGGAGAAGAAGAGGGATGAAGGGTAGGATTGGCAAGGGACAAGGGAGGGGGCTACCTCTGGGATACAAAATGAATAAATTGTAATTAATAAAAATAAATTAATTAAAAAAACAATGTCCTAGGTTTGATATTATAGAATCATAATTGTTCTATTCAGATTCAAAGTTCATTTTATTCTTTTTGTTTTTGTTGTTGTTTGAAGTCTTCTAGTCTCGGCCCCATTCATATATCCTCACAAGTACTAAAATTTATGGTGAAACTAATGGTTAAACCTATTTTTTAATTTTTATTTTTTTCTTCACAATTTATTCATTATAAATCCCAACTGAAGCCCCCCTTTAACTCCTCCAGTCCCACCCTCCCTCTCATCCCCTTCCCCTAGTCCACTGAAAGGGTTACTTCTCCACTCTTGCTATCTGCCCATAGTTTGTTAAGTCTCATCCAGACTTTTTGGATCCTCTTACTCTGTTACCTGGCAAGGCTGCATCATCAGGGGCAAGTGATCAGAGAGCAGTCAACTGAGTTCATGATAGAAGCAGCCCCTGATCCCCTCACTCAAAGATCACCCTGGAGACTGAGCTGCCAATTGGCCACATCTGAAGGGTCCTCTCCATGCATGATTCTCCATTGGTGCATCACTCTCTGCAAGACCCCCTGGGATCAGATCTTTTAGTTTTGTTGGTCTCCTTGTTGGGCTCCTGTCCACTACAAGAGATCATCCTGAGTGAGGTAACCCAGAAACAGAAAGACAGGCATGCTATACACTCACTAATAAGCAGATATTAGCCTTATAATATAAGACAGCCATCTACAGACCTAAAAAAAGATAAACACAAAGGAGGACCCTAGGAAGGATGCTTAAATCTCATTCAGAATGTCAAAAAGGATAGGCAACAGAAGAAGTGGATGAGAGGAAACAGGATGGGAGTCTACTATAGAGGGTCTTCTGAAAGGATTTACCCAACAGGAGATCAAAGCAGATGCTGAGACTCAGGGCTAAACTCTGGGCAGAGTGCAAGGAGGAAGAGAAGGGTGAGATTAGAGAGACGTGGGATTAGAGAGACATGGGTTGAGACCTTTTATACCACAAATAAAAGATCTTTATAGTCCTTTTAAAAGGTCAAGTCCATTGGTCTGCCCTTTACCTTGACACTGTTGATAGATATCCCAAAATGTATGCACTTAGTTCTTTATTAGAGCATAAAAGAACAATATTATCTGTTTTGCTATTTATCAAGACAATCATTCATTTCAGATTCTGCATGCTATTGGTAAGATTCCAGAAGATGAAATTTGGCAGCCAGAACCAGAGTCTTTGGTATGCTATATTTCATAGATTTACATGTCTTTACTCTAAGAATGATTATTCCCAAGAACATACTTATATATATCCACATACCTTTTCCTAATAATTCAGCTCATGGATGTCTAAGTAATTTGCATGGTTTAGGAGTCACAGATTTAGATGAATTTTGATAAATTTGTAGTGCTGTATATCATGCAGATTACTAACAAAAGTATGATTTTTTATGGTATGGTAATATTTTCCCAGAGAACTATAAACATATTAAGAAATGAGTGGGGATGGAGAAGAGCAGAGTGTCACAATGCTCGCTTAGCATGTGTAAGATACTGGACTTGATATCTAATATAAACCAAGTATAGAAAGAAAAGATAAAAATAAAAGAAACACCTTCCAAATCAGAACTTAATGTCTGCTGAATGATCTGACTTAATGATTCTCAACAAGAAGTAGGAAGTACACATAGATGATAGAGTTGTAAAGAATGGGAGTCTAAAATGTCAGATAATCCTCTATCTTTTTAAGACTACTAGAAATAGTATGATTGGCTGAGGAGAACACTGATTAATCACTTTCGACAGATATTTATAATGTACACGGGCCACTGTGGTCTGAGAAGGGTGGTGCTTTCAGGTGGAAAGACAAATAATAACCCCAAAGTACAATCATGACAGAGACTGTGCTGAGAGAAAATATGAAAGGTGGAGCCATCTCAACCTGGGAGCTGCAAAAAGACTAGAAATGTGACATAAAGAGCCAGTCAGGTGAAGAAGAGAGCATGAGCCACTTAATGGAGGGAATGCCATGTTTAATACCACAGAAATTAGAATGATTGGGTTACTCTAAAATAAAATCTGGAAGAAATAATTTCTGGAATGACACGCATAACCTCACATTGACACAAATGTTCTCTGAACTCAGGATGTTCCTGCACGACCCACTACCAGCACCTTCCTAGAGAGACACTTGCCTTCTGTTCCAGGCCTGCTAAAGCTGCTTGGATTGACCACCATCTTTTCAGCAGCAGCACTTGGTTTCCTGGCCCACAAAAGGGGCCTGCTTGTACGGTTCTAAAGATGGGACTTCCACATCCACAGGTTTCTTATCCTATGTGGCACAAAGGCTTTGGGAAGGAGTTATGAAATAATCTGACAAAGACAAAGAGAATATGTAGTGAGAAAACACAGTAACTTGTTCTCCATTTTGGCTGTTTGTCAGCATCTCTCACTGTGTTCCATCAATTTCCAACTTCCCTGCGCTCTGAATTTTTACATCAGGTACACAGGCTTGTTCCTTGGTCTCTCACAACTATGTCCTCACCTATTTAACTTCTTTGCCATTGTCCTTAGAATCCTGTCTTGTTATAACTGGAGAGCATTAGCTGCCATCTGGAGGTCACCTTCTAATTTATATTTAAGTAAATCAAATGCAACGAAAGTAAAACTTAATCACACATGGCCTACAATAAGCTACTGGTATTTGAGTGACTGGAACATAGGTTGATGCTTTTCCCACCTCCCAAGATGTATTCCCCAATTATCCTCCTCCACCTTATGCCATAGTCACTGATGGATGATTGTTCCTATGTTGATTTATCCTCCATTACTAAAACTGGTATTGTGTTACTCAGTAAATATCTTTTAGTCTTGCTATTTTGTGCAGTGTTGCCAGCTGATTTTAATTTTTCTTGAGGGTTGGAATCTTTGTTGTTCCTTTGTATCTTCCAGTATACATCTATTCACAGATTAAGACACACAGGTAATTAAAAATAAAGCTACTTGACCATATGTTTGTTGTCTCTTCTTCTTGGACTATGACTTTTGAGGTTTTGATAAGCCAAATCAAGAGGCAGTGTTAAGCATATAATTGATGTGAAAGCTTATAGTGAGAACTTTCTCAGAGCATAGATATTATGTATAGTTTGATGGTGTGTCTAGATATTATCTGCAGTTTGATGGTGTCATTCATAATAGGCTCACATGTATGAGCACTTAGTAAGTGACTTAAATTGTTCAGTAAGGATGCTGTAATTCACAGCTTCTTGCTTTTATCTCCACCCAGAATCTGTCAATAATAAACATTAACATGCAAGATGCATAACCTATTAAAATAATTATAATACTTCAATTGACCTTCACGTTTCTTATCATTATGGTGTTTTTACTAGGTAAACTCATTAATTGCAAGCCATAATGCCACAGTCCATTAAATCTTATGTGAAATACTTTTTAAGTGAGATCATTATTTTGAATAGTTTCCTGCTTAATGGGAGGTGGAGTCCAAGATAGTGGTGACTGGTGTGCACCATATCTGAAAAGCATTGGATTAGAAACTCTGAAATTTGTGAATAGAGAGGCAGCTGAAGCCAAAACACTGACATTGAGACTTCTTGGGTGAGAGAGGACAATTGATGACAGTTTGGATCCAGGTCACGAGTGGATACCTCTGGGGACTGAGAGTGGCAGATATTCAACAACTCTGAACTTCCCCTTGCTCCAAGCACGGGCCTTCCTGTTCAGAGGAAGCAGCAGTGATTAACCCAAGAACGAGCCTCCTTCCATGTTCAGTGACTGAGTCAGCAGAGGCATGTACCCCAGGGCTAAAGGCAGCTATACAGGTCTCCCATGTCTGCAGCAGCTGCATGAAGCTATACAGACTGCCTAGCTGGTAGCTAAACCACCCTTCCAGGTAAGGAGCGACAGCCAGATGGAGACTACCCAAAACAGGAGCCTCCAAGTGCAGTGACTGAGACAGGAGAGGTGGCTCACTAAGTATGAGTATCCCTGCCCAGTGGCCAAACAATGGACACCACTGAGCAGCCGGATGTCCTACACTCTCATTTGCCCCTGTTGGCCCATATCTAAGAATAGAGAACAGGGGGATCCCCTGTGCTTTCTGATTAGGCCTGCAAGAGAGTGAATGCACCTTCAAGTAAGTGCATGCAGGGCCCAAGATCCAGGGACCTTCTAAGCTAACAGACAGATATCAGATCCTTCCCACCCACAACCCCACTATGGGCAGCATAGACATCCTTGGGACAGCTTTCTCAACATTGAAACCCCTGTTCTGTGGGTCTACCAGTGGAGTCCAGTAAAACAATTCCTGGAGCCAAGAGAGATCTGAATAACAGAGGACAGTACTACTGGCCTGTAAGCCAATGAGGTATTCAAGGCACCTGAGCATACAGAGTGTGTCTGCAAACAGTGCCAGCAACTGCACCCCTCTTGCACTTAAGCTCCACATTGCAGGCATCTAGACTCACTAGCACCCTGTCCTTCAAAGTATACTTCCACACACACTCTTGTACTTGCACACATGCGCCTGCGACCTTCCTCCCTTAGCTACAGCTGAAACACCAACATCCACACTCAAACCAATGGAACTCTCTCATCTTCCTGAAGAATACTCCAGACCGCAGAGACAGATAAACACATTCTGAAGTACAGACTAGAGGAAAAAAACAGTGAAGGTTACAGATAAGCAGATGGCTAGAGGTCGGCATAAGAACACGTCCAACAAAACCCAGGACATCATGGCTTAACCAGCAACACCCAAAATTAGTGGATATGCTAATTTATCAGAAACACAGTAAAATTATCTCAAAGCTATGCTTATCTAGTTACTGGAGACATATAAAGAGGTAGTGAATAAAGCTCTCAAAGAAATACAGGTAAATACAGCCAAACAAATAGAGGCACATGTAGAGGTGCAAGTAGAGGCATACAGAGGGAAATGAACAAGCTCCCAAAAAACTACAGGCAAATACAGCCAAACAAATAGAGGCACAAGTAGTGGCATATACAGAGGAAATGCACAAAAAAACAGAGGCCGTCATGGAAAGACAAGAATCCACATTAAAACAGATGAAAGAAATGGTGCAAAGTATGAAAACAGAATCAGAATCAATAAGAAAACACAAACAGAGAAAACACTGGGGCTGGAGAACTTAGAAAAAGATCAGAAACCACAAGGGTAAGCATCACCAACAGAATACAAGAGATGGAAGAGAGAATCACAGGCATTGAAGATACAAATGCAGAAATCGATATATCTCTCGAAGTAAAGTAAAAGTGGAAAGTCCCAAACACAATACATCCAAAAAATCAATGATGCCATGAAAAGATGAAATCTAAGAATAATAGTAATAGACAGCAAAGAAGAGTCCAGGCTCCAAGATCCAGAAAATATTTTCAAGAAAATCATAGAAGAAAATTTCCCCATCTTAAAGAAAGAGATGTCTATAAACATACAAAAGACCTACAGAATACCAAATAGACTAGACCAGAAAAAAAAAACTTCCTAGTGTCACATCATAGTCAAAACATTAAATGTATAGAATAAAGAAAATATTAATAGCAGTAAGGAAAATGACCAGGTAACATATAAAGATAAGCCTTTTAGAATTACACCAGACTTCTCAACAGAAACTATGAAAGACAGAAGGGCCTGGGCAGATGTCATGAAGACTCTAAGAGACCACAGATGCCAACCCAGCTACTATACCAGCAAAGCTTTCAATCAACATAGATGGAGAAACAAAATATTCCATAACAAAATTAAACTTAAACAATATCTACACAGTAATCCAGCCCTACAGAAGATACTAGAAGAAAAAATCTAATCCAACATAAACAACTACACCCAAGAAAACACAGGATATAGATAACATCACATACAAAAAGAAAATAAAAGAAAACAAGCATTGACGCACAATAACACCACCAACTCCACAATAAAAGGAACTAACATTCATTGGTCACTAATATCCATCAACATCAATGGACTCAACTCTCCAATAAAAAGACACAAACTAACAGAATCTTCTTGGAAACAGGATCCAACATTATACTGCATTCCAGAAACACAACTCTCTGCAACAAAGATTAAACACTACGTCAAAGTAAACGACTAGAAAAACATGTTTTTCTAGCTAACAGACCCAGAAAACAAGCTGGGGTAGTTATCCTAATATCTAATAAAATAGACTTTCAACAAAAATTAATCAAAAAAGATGAGGAGGGGACCTTCATTCTCATCAAAGGAAAAATTCACCAGGAGGACATCACAATCCTGAATATCTATGCCCCAAATACAAGGTCACCTGCATTTGCAAATGAAACATTATTAAAGATTAAATCACACATTGATCCCAACATGTTAATAGTGGGAGACATCAACACTCCACTCTCACCAAGGGACAGATCATGTAGACAGAAGTTAAATAGGGAAATAATGACTTCAGAGAGGTCCTAAATCAAATGGACCTAATAGAAGTCTACAGAAGTTTTCAACCAAATTAAAAAATGTATACCTTGTTTTCAACACCTCATGGTACCTTCTCAAATGTTGACAATATAATCAGGCACTAAGGATGCCTCAACAGTTACAAGAAGATCAAAATAATCCTTTGTATCCTATCAGAAAACCTGGGCCAAAAACTAGACTCAATAACAACAGAAATAACAAAAAGCCTACATACACATGGGAACTGAACAACTCTCTACTCAAAGACAACTTCATCAGGGAAGAAATAAAAAAAGAAATTAAAAACTTCCTAAAATTCAATGAAAATGAAGGCAGAACTCACTCAAACTTATGGGACACAATGAAAGCAGTGATTAAAAAAAAAAAAAAAAGAAAGAAAGTTCATAGCATAATGTGCCTCCAAAGAAGTAGGAGACATCTCATAAAAGCTACTTAATGGCACACCTAAAAGCCATGGGAAGAAAAAGATGTGGACACACCTAAGAGAAGTAGATGATTGGAAATAAACAAACTCAGAACTGAAATCAATGAATTAGAAACAAAGGAAACAATTCAAAGAATCCATGAGACCAAGAGCTAGTTCTTTGAGCAAATAAACAAGATAGACAAACCCTTAGCTAAACTAACTAAAGGGGAGGGAAAAACTATCCAAATCAGCAAAATCAGAATGAAAAAGGGAAACATGACAAAAGTCACTGAGGAGATCCAAACAATCATTAGGCCTTTTTTTGTAAAAAGTCTATATACCACAAAATTTGAAAATCTAAATGAAATGGACAATTGTCTTGATAGTTTTCATTTACCAAAATTAAATTAAGAACAGGTAAACAGACTGAATACTCCTATATCCCACAAAGAAATAGAAGCAGTCCTCAAAAGTCTCCATTTAATTAAAAAGCCCTGGGCCAGATGGTTTCAGTGCAGGATTCTACCAGACCTTCAAGGAAGAACTAACTCCAATTCTCATCAAACTATTCCACAAAATAGAAAGAGAAGTAACATTACAAAACTCATTCTATGAAGCCACAGTTACCATATTACATAAACCACACAAAGACCCAACATAAAAAGACCTGTCTTATGAACATTGATTTAAAAATACTCAATACAATTCTTGCAAACAGAATCCAAGAAAACATAAAAGATATCATCCACGATAAACAAGCAGGCTTCAGGAGACAGGCATGCAGGGGTGATTCAATACATGGAAATCCATCAATGTAATCTACCATTTAAACAAACTAAAGGAGATAAAACCACATGATCATTTCCTTAGATTCTGAAAAATGACTTGAAAAAAATCCAACACCTGTTCATGTTTAAAGTCTTAGAGAGCTCAGGGATACAAGGCACATTCTTAAACATAATGAGGACAATATACAGCAAGCCTGTAGCCAACATCAAACTAAACAGAGATAAACTTAAATCAATCCCACTGAAATCAGGGACAAGGCAAGGCTGCCTACGCTCTCTGTATCTCTTTAACAAGTACTTGAAGTCCTAGCTAGAGCAATAAGACAAC